CTGGGCACAGACACAGGGAAAAGGTGGATGGGGAGCATCCCCAGACCTCAGTGGTTGGAGCTGAGGATAGCTGGAAATGGGGAAGAGGAGTTGCATCAGCCCTTGTAGGGAATACCCCAAAATAAGAGAGGTGTGCCCTTCTAAGTTCTAAGCCTTATGATGTTTACATTCTTGTAATAAACTTTCTCACGCAGTTTTATGTAAATAATTATTGGTTTACATTCTTCCCTAGAAGAAGAAAAATTTAATAGACTGTTAGTTTGTCCAGTGTCACTAAAGAAGTAGCACTTTCATCCTCCAACCCACTGTCACTTTTGAAAATCTATAAATGTTGAAATCAAAAAATAAACTTCCCTTATTTTTACCTTAAAAGTTCCAGCGTACATGTTGTTTTATTTTGTGTACTATAGCGACAGAGGTGTGCATGGGAGAGACAAAAACACCCTGCTGTAACCCACTGGGCAGTTTTCACCTGTCTCCCAGTCCACCTCTGCTCCTCTTGATGGTTTATACTGGAGGAGGATGAGGGAACAGCGCGGCTTTGCCCAAAAATCTGGCTCCCAGCCCTGCTCTACCCCAGCTCTTGCACAGCCCAGCTGCCTCCTCCGTGCCTTCCACATCACTGGATTCAGCCCTGCTCTGGGAATCCCCTGGGATTCCTGGCTGGGAGGGAAGAGGGAAGGGTTAGCAGCCAGGATGGGAAATGTTTATGGCATTTTTCCCCAGGGATCCGTGTGCAGGAGTTGTTGATGACGTATCCCACTTGAGGAAAAGTCTGCTAATGAGGCTTGAGGGGTTCTGATGTGCAAAAATTTCTAATTAGAGTCTCAGTATTCCAGTGTCCTTACCCTGAATATGCTGTGCAGCCAAAACTTGTTGAGTGGGATGTAATTGGCTCCTTTGCTCTCAGGGCTGCCCAAAAGGATGAGGAAACTGAGGCTCAGAAAGGAGCACCTGAGGCTGCCCTGAAAACCCCTCCCAAACTAGGACTGAAAATCAGATTTCTTAACTGTGAGGACAACTAGAGGGAAGCAACAGGCTTGGAGTGGGATTTGATAACATTTGCCTTCAAAGTGCTTCAAGAAAACCCCACAGGGAGTCAATCTCAGTGACCCTGCTGCGAGGTACATAAATAAGAGGTGTTTCTCTTTTCCAGATGAGGAATCAGAGGTAAGTGGTCAGAGGGAGGAGGGCACATTGCCATCAGCCAGGTCCAGACCCCGGCCACACTTCTCCCTCAAGGACTGAGCCTGCACAGAGAGGTTTTTTAACCAAGTTGAATCTTCCATCCCCACCCATCACCCTCCATTTCATTTCCAGTACTCCTCAGGAGGAGCTGCAGCACACTCTGAAGTTGTCTGTGCCCCCTCTCTCTCTTTTGGGGGTTTATTGCTGCAAGTTTTGATTGTTTGTTGCCACTGACCCTGGGTGCAAGGAGATGAAACATCCAGCATTGCTGTGGTACAATCAATGAACAAATTCATGCCTTTCTATGCTGCTTGCACACCTCTGTGCTGTCCCTTCACTGACAGCAAACACACTGGAGGACGGATGCAGGGTGAGATGGGATGGGAACACACTATAAAGCTCTGTGTCAAATGGAAATATCCTCAGGTCAACAGGATGAATGTTTTCTGGGCTCTTACCCACGACACCACAATTCAGGACTGGATTGCTAAGGTTCTCTTGAACAATTCCGGAGCATGAGTCCCATTTTTGGGCGTGTTTTGGGACGGATTCCCCAGATCTGATTTGAAATTAGGCAGACTGCCGTGGTTTTGGATGAGGGTCACACAAGCTGACAGAAGCAGAGCATTCAGAGCACCGACAGAAGGCTGGAATATGGTCCAGGTTTGTTCCCTTCTGTTCCAGCAAGGAGAGGCAGCAAAGTCTATCACATCAACAGGATCCCTGTCTCCACCTGGAGAGTTTGCAACTCAACAGGAAGAATTCAGGTGAACTCAGAGGGTAAGACCAACAAGAGCAGGGCCCATCAGAAAAACCCTCCAAGGCTGCCAAGGACACCGTGAGGCTCAGAGTGACAACACCCTGCAGAGCCACTCTCAGCTGGAGCCCTGGGCTAGACAGATCCCATGCACTTCCCAGCCACTGTCTCTGCTGAGAGGGGCTTGGCAAACGAGACCTCCCTGCCACTCAAAGCCAGGAGCTCAGCCAAGCTGACACCTCCCTCTCCAGGGCTTTGGCAGAGAGCTCACTGCAGGAGGAGATCACTCAGGGAACGGCTGCAGAGAGGCAACTTCAAGATCAATGGCATCACTTAAAAAGCTGAAGGAAAAACAAGAACGAACTGCTATCCCAATGAACTGGTATCCCAATGAACTGATATCCCAATACTGAGGACACCTGGATCCAGTATTCCTCGTGAGGCAGTGGATAAACCAGTAAAACAAACTAATGGGAGAGTAGAATGAGGCCCCTGCTTAACCATAAGGTCCCCATGAAAACTACCTTGGAGTGGATCCCATGTTGTTTACTGGGATCTGATTCCTCTCTAAGGGCAATGGAGATCATGACAAGTCCAAAAGAGGAGAGGTTCAGGTCAGCAGCAGGAAGCTGGAGGTGCTGAGACAAGGGCTGATGGTCAGAGTCAAATTCCCTCAAATGGAATGGGAACCACCAGGAAAGTGTGACCCAGAGAAGAGCTGCTGGAGTGTTGACCTCAAAACACATCAGGCTGCTTTTCTGGTGCAGTCAGCAAACTGGTGGAGATGCTCTGTCCAGCCTCTACCACTCTTCTTTCCCCTCATCTTCTAAAATATATCTTTCACAATTAAGCCAAGTCTCTCCCCAGAAAATACCAGAGACTTTTTTGGAGGTACCTGGCTCAGCCAGGGACTGAGACAGCGTTTTGCCCCTCTACCTTGATGCCTTAAGTTTTAGTTTTCCTATTTTCCAGATTCTGTACTGCATTAGTGTGTGACTCTGAACTTCATATAAAGTGTTAGCAAGTTCTCCTCACAGTTTAGTTAGACAAAACAATCCTTTTCCAGCCCCACAACCAAGGACACCATTGCAGCTTCAGGCCCAAAAAGTGCAAACAACAGTGAATTGAGGAGAGCAAACTGGGAGGATGGGACTGCATAACCTGGAGCTGGAATTGGACAATGAACCCCAATATGGAAATGGAACAAAATTTATAAAAGTGTGAAAACTCATGACCTGTTGTCCATCTTGGATAGAGCCACAGCTGGGCTTTTGCACTGCCCAAGGTGTATCCTCTGAAAGCCTTTTAATAAATACCTTTTTTTTTCCTTTAAAAGGAAATTCCTATGCATGAAAGTAGATAAATAATCTGGATATAGTTGACTGATTATTTAGGTTGCTGAAAATAAAACATGTATAGTGTGCTGCTAAGTGCAAAACATAAGAAAAAGGAAGTGTACTAACTTTTTTTCTCACAATGGTAATAGATGATGCAGTGAGGTAAGCAAGCATATTTTGGTCCTAAGAAAACTGTTGATAGGTGTTGTCTCTGGAATGAACCAGGAGCCACCCAGCGATGATGGCCCATGAAGATGTCTGGCCTAGATAATCTAAGCCATCAGAAATTTACATCTGAAAGACATATTCCTAGAACTCACAATGAAAATACATTGATTCAGGGATGAAAATACATCGATTCCGGATGAGCTTTGTTGGACTTTTGCACAGAGAAAAGAAACTACATGAATATGGGAAAAGCTGAAAAAAATATGTGAGTCCTGAATGGAAGAATAGAAAAACTGTATTTAAGCTGGCTCTACCAGGCTCTCTGTGTGAACACTGGGGATTTGCTGCTAGTGAGCTCGGATTCCGTGCCCACCCAGCTCACATCCTGGCGTCGGTGCTGTTCCTTGATTGTTTGCTGTCAGGACTGTATATTGATTGTGAATAAATTCTATTTTTGTTTTTATTAAATTGTCTGGATCAATTTTTTACCTATAAGAGAATGGTTTGATGGAGGTGCCACCCTCCGTGTCCCCTTCCCCTGGTGCCTGTCCTCCCGCAGGAACAGCCGTGCAGCGCTGGGCAGGCAGAGGGATGGGGATGGTTTGCTCCAGAGCTCAGCCTGGAGCAATAAAGTGTTAGCAAGTTCTCCTCACAGTTTAGTTAGACAAAACAATCCTTTTCCAGCCCCACAACCAAGGACACCATTGCAGCTTCAGGCCCAAAAAGTAAAAACAACAGTGAATTGAGGAGAGCAAACTGGGAGGATGGGACTGCATAACCTGGAGCTGGAATTGGACAATGAACCCCAATATGGAAATGGAACAAAATTTATAAAAGTGTGAAAACTCATGACCTGTTGTCCATCTTGGATAGAGCCACAGCTGGGCTTTTGCACTGCCCAAGGTGTATCCTCTGAAAGCCTTTTAATAAATACCTTTTTTTTTCCTTTAAAAGGAAATTCCTATGCATGAAAGTAGATAAATAATCTGGATATAGTTGACTGATTATTTAGGTTGCTGAAAATAAAACATGTATAGTGTGCTGCTAAGTGCAAAACATAAGAAAAAGGAAGTGTACTAACTTTTTTTCTCACAATGGTAATAGATGATGCAGTGAGGTAAGCAAGCATATTTTGGTCCTAAGAAAACTGTTGTATTGAACACCTTGAACCTGTTAGTTTTGGAACGCTTGCAGTACTGAGTTTGCATTAGAATCAAGGGTTAAGATTATCATCTTAAAGGGTTGGATTATCATCCAACCATCACTCTTTTCTTAGGTTTTAATAATGCCACTGCTCACTTCATTTTGGTGGATATGGCTTTGCTACCAAGTAAGTCATGTTTTTCCATGAAACATGATTTTACGTATATGCATTACCTTCATGTATTGACGGTAAAAACCACTTAAATCCCTACTTAATGAAGACAACTACTACTTGCCTGAATAGACCATGCTCTAGGTAGCCTCTCCAGGCATCAGGTGTGTTCACGGGAGGGCAGGGGGTGGGGACAGGCAGGGCTGGGGTGGTGGCAGAGCCCAGAGGTACTCACGTGTTGTGGAGGACACACCATCCGCAGTGGGGGTCTCCCGAGCCCAGGCACTCGCTGCAGGTCTCGTACTGGCTGCACGACTCCACGGGCACCCTGGTGAGCTGCAGGAGGAAAGGGGACAACCTGTCAGGCTTCTCACGTGCCTCAGAATTGTTATGTGTTATTTTGGCAATTCGTGCCGATTGAGACTACATGTGTATGTGTATATTGATAATTCGTACATGATGGGTATTCTGTGAGATGTGGTATGAGTGTTATATAGGATATAGTATGACTTCTAATAAAACAAATCATGAAGGGCACACTAGCCAGAGAGAAGGGATTGCTACAGGGAGTAACAAAACTACAGCTGGCAGCAGAGGAAAGGAATCCAAATTAACACACAAAAAAGACTGGCCCAGAAAGGAGATAGGTGTTGTCTCTGGAATGAACCAGGAGCCACCCAGCGATGATGGCCCATGAAGATGTCTGGCCTAGATAATCTAAGCCATCAGAAATTTACATCTGAAAGACATATTCCTAGAACTCATAATGAAAATACATTGATTCAGGGATGAAAATACATCGATTCTGGATGAGCTTTGTTGGACTTTTGCACAGAGAAAAGAAACTACATGAATATGGGAAAAGCTGAAAAAAATATGTGAGTCCTGAATGGAAGAATAGAAAAACTGTATTTAAGCTGGCTCTACCAGGCTCTCTGTGTGAACACTGGGGATTTGCTGCTAGCGAGCTCGGATTCCGTGTCCACCCAGCTCCGATCCCGGGATCGGTGCTGTTCCTTGATTGTTGGCTGTCAGGACTGTATATTGATTGTGAATAAATTCTATTTTTGTTTTTATTAAATTGTCTGGATCAATTTTTTACCTATAAGAGAATGGTTTGATGGAGGTGCCACCCTCCGTGTCCCCTTCCCCTGGTGCCTGTCCTCCCGCAGGAACAGCCGTGCAGCGCTGGGCAGGCAGAGGGATGGGGATGGTTTGCTCCAGAGCTCAGCCTGGAGCAATCCCTGTCCACATGCTGCTCCACATCCCCTGTGGCCTTTCCCTCTCCCTGTAGCCCTTCATCACTTGCAGGATTCCCCAGCAGTCAGCAAATCAGGCAGGCTGTGGAGATGCGATACCTTGAAATTAAGTTAATTAATTTTGAGATCTTCTGCAGCAAGGTAAACTCCCTGGATCTCATTGATCTCTCTGGTTTGGGACTGTGTTTCTTTCTGGCTTCCTGTGAGAACTGAGGTCTTGTGATGCCTTTGTCTCCCTCCCATGACTTCCTGCCACCACCAGTCCCCACTGCCACCACCAGTGCTGGTCCCAGGCAAGCATTAGCTCCACTTCCCTTTGCCTGCGCTTCTTTCCAACCATCTCTTGTCCCATCCCTGGAGAGGTTGCTCCCAGCAGGAAAGGGACAAAGGCTACCAGGCTGGATATTTTCTTCCTGTAGCCCTGCTTTTGCAGCTCAGAAGGCATTAGAGTAGGACCTGAAACACCCAGGTACTGCCAAAATACCGCATTTTATCATCTGTTTTTCTTTTATTTTTCCTTTTTAATTAAAGTGTTTCAGCGAGAGGTTTCAAAGGTTGAAGGGACTTCCCAGCCTGACCTCCTGTCTCACAGATTTTGATTCCTCTTACATTTTGTAAGCCCCTCACAGCTTTTGAAGCCAAGCACACAATTTGGGCCCAATGACCTGATAGTCCCTTTCACACTGAATAAGCTTCAGAGAGCCTCTGTAATATCCAGTCAATTGCTGGTGTCTTCACCCCAGTTCCTGTCAGCAGGGAGAGTTTATTCCCTCAGATGATAGAGTGAGGTATTATCCTGATGAAACGCCTCTGAGAACTGCCAGCTCTAAACTGCAGAACAGTTACTCCTGACAAATGACGAGGGAATGCACCTGGATCCCAGGGACAACTTTTTACTTGGCACTGCATTCAGGAGAGTTTGAGCTGTGGAGTGGCAGACTAAGATCCATCTTGATTGTGTCTGTAAATGAACCAAGAACTGGCTTTTTAATTTTTCTTTTTTTTTTTTTAATTTTAATATAAATATATATCAGGCAAAATTCCAGCTCCGTGTGAAGACCTTTCCTGGTTGTATCAGAAATTGTTTTTTCTCACCCCTACCCACAAATCCCAGCTGATAGTCTATAAGCAAAAGCTGAAAATGTGCAGCTTTGCCTCTGGCAAGTGGCAGAAGCTTTAGAAAACTTCAGGTAAAAACATGATGGGGTTTATTTACCATTGCACCACTGCCTGTGCCAAGTCACCCAGAGGAGCCAACTGTGGCTACCGAAAGCCTTTCATGAAAAAGTGAGGATGGGGGGAAAAACTCAAACAAAAACCAACACAAACTCACTTTTCTCAGCTGAATCTATTGCCGTGAGCATAAAAACATAACCAGAACAAACCACAGAGCAATAAAATTTATAAGGACACGACAGGGAGGGAGTCATTCAGACTTCTCTAATTATGGTGGCCTTGGCAGTGGTGAATTAATGGTTGAATTTGGTGATTTTAAAGGTCTTTTCCAAGATTCTATGATTCTTTCAAGAAGTTTAAAAATTAAGATTGTTTGTCCATGAAGAAGGTTGTTCCACTTTTCTTAAGTTTCTGATCAAGAAGGTATCAACTATTCATGAAGAATAAATTTTATGCCTCAGGTTTTTTCACCCAATTAAACTTGTTGAACCCAACAGTCTGTGTTGAATCCAAATTCCAAAAAGACAAAAATTATTACAAGAAGATACCAAAAGGTATCATATAATTTATAATATATAATATATATCACATCATAATTTGTAATTTATAATTTATAATTTATAAATTTATAATTTATAAGGCTCACACTATAATTTACGATGTCAGCCATTCCCACCTCGTATTTCCACCTGAGAAAAATATATTGTGAGTTATTTTATCTCAATCACATCAAGTTTGGCCATGTCTGCACTGTGGCCACCAGAGGACTTGAAGAAGGAACAGATAATTTAGTTTTGAAAGACTGTAAATCTGCCATTCCTCAATCCAGATGCAATTCCCACCTGGTAATTAGAATTTTGTGAGCACAGTTGGGTTTGGCTCTGCAGTTCCCACCCAAACCACCCCCAGTTTGACATATGGTGCTGCTTGATTTATCCTCATTAGCTCTAGATTTTTCCATCCAGCCTCATTTCTGAGCCAGTTTACACCTGTCTGATAGAAGTGAGACTTGGTTGAGAAGTTTAGATCAGAAAATGAACTTTTCCAACACCTGTTGATCCTGGCTTGAATGTTCAGAGTCAAAATCCACCTGTGGCTCTGATACAGGTGGAAGAAAGAAGTTGTAGAGGACTGAAATTTGCCTTTTCTTGGCAAATTGCTGTAAAAAGAGTAGATAAAAAGTGCTCTCTGTATGTTTTATTCTTATTAGTTAATTAGCCATCAAAGGATAGCCAAGCTCATTCCAGTGGCAGGAGGAATCTACTGGGAACCCAGATCTTCATCTTTGCAGAAATGTTTTCTTCTCAGTGTGTTTGGGGATATTTTGAGGGATATGTGTTGATTTTAGGAGCACACCTGGCCCCAGAGCCCACAGGGATGTGTCAGGAGCTCCCCACATCCCAAATCCTGCCAATCCCACCAGGATGTGTCCCGTGTCTCTGTGTGCATTATTCCTGCACTAAAAGTCCTTTTACAAGTTCACCTCTAGCAGCTTTATTGTGAGCTTAATTAAAACTGTACCACGCTGATAAATGTCTTGGGCTGGAAGTGTCAGACCTTCCAATTAATGCAGAAAGAAAACACAAAAAACAAAGGAGCTGCAACAGAAAGAAAAGCCACCTAAGGGTCGTCTGCTGAAAAGAGGAAGAACATCAAGCAAATAAGGCACATCAGAGGTCTTATTTTCCTTTTTGGAGCATAAACTGTAATTAATTCAGCTCAGCTTTCTGTGTTGAAGGGTTTGAGAGCTGACTGTGTCCCTCCAGGGAACAGCCACTAAAATGTCAGCAAAAGGGAAGTCCATGCAGCCTCCCAGTCACAGAGCCTTGCCATTACTCACTTGATGAATAATGATGAAGGCACCAGGCAGTGCTGGAGGTGGAAATCTCCATGGCAAACCAGGCTGTGCTCACTCCCTCCACCCCTTCTCCATCCTTGGAGAGCCTGACAAACTCTTCAAGGTTATTTCCCAGCCTTGGTGAGGATCCCTACCCCTGGTTCTTCGTGGGAGTGAAACCTGGACTCAACATTTTGCAGCAAATATCACAGAATCCTGGAATATCCTGGGTTGGAAGGGACCCACGAGGATCATTGAAGTTCAGTCCTTGATTGAAGGACAGCTCCAAGAATCCACAACGTGCCCGAGAGTGCTGCCCAGACATAACCAGGGATTCAGCAGGATTAGAAAAATAAAGTCTTTCTTTCATTTTGGGGCATTAAGAGCCACTTTGGAGTAATTTATATTCCTACTGTGGTCACAGCTTCACTGGTATTTTAGTCTCACTCTGGCAGAGCAATATATGGATGTAAGAACAGACTGCTGCTGTTCTCAGGGCTTAAATCTCATATATTAGGAAAATACATGATATTAGGAAAAGGTTCTTCCTCCCCCAGAGGGTGGTTGGGCGCTGCCCAGGCTCCCCAGGGAATGGCCACATTCCCAAGGCTCCCAGAGCTCCAGAAACATTTGGACACTGCTCCCAGGGATGCACAGGGAGGGATTTTAGGGTGTCTGTGCAGGGCCAGGAGCTGCACTGGATGATCCTCACAGGTCCCTTCCAGCTCAGGATATTCCCTGATTGCATCCCCCATTTTATCAAGAAGAGCTGAAGCTGGAACAGCTGTCCCAGTGTCTCTGAAGGTGTGGGTTTATGGCATCTGAGCAAGTCTGAGGAGGAAGTTCAGGTAACACCTGCTCAGGGAGCACCAGGTTATTAAATACAACATATTTAGGCTCTGTGTTCATTGGAATATTGAAGATATGAAGGTAGGGTCCCCTCAGATGCCTGCCCACACACCTGGTGGACATCCAGGAGCTGCTGTGCTTCCAAAGATCTGCCCAGAGCAGAGGGACAGATGATCTCTGTCCCAGTGAGAGGCAATCCCAGAGCCAGGGCTGGA